ACTACTGGTGAGGAAGGAGCATCTATCTGCAGACACTCTGGAGAGTACTACAGGAGCAAAGCAATATCCAGTACTTGTAAAGCAGACAAGATTTAGGAATGATTAAACTTGGGATGAAATGTTTTCAGGTGAAGAGTCTAAGAGCCAATGATTTAGACATGAAAGAGACCAACAGACACCACCATATCCACTTCAGCATCCAGCTTTGTATTCAAACACATAACACATTTTGCCTGATAAATCCCCTTTCAGCGGGCAAGTTTCACAGATGACAGATTGTCACCAAGTCAGGGACTTCAATCATTTTCATCTCCAGTCCATATTGCTTGAGAATTGCTACAGACAGTTAGTAGTTCATCAGTACCCCGCGGGGACAGAGGAACAGATCAGAACACGGAACTGCAAGAGCTTTAAAGCAATGATTTTTCCATACTCCTGTCATTGCTAAAAGTGGGTTTGGCCATCTAAGGGATGGATTGTTTGTTGGATACAATAAGGCTCCCAATACCATAGTGTCTGGGCAAGAATGGGCACATACAACCTTTTGAGATGTGGTACTGTAAGTCCCATCTATCACAGAAAGTAAAGTAGCAATCCAGCAGGGCACAAAGTGACATTTAAAAAGCCTTAGGGCTTGTCCGTATGGAGAAATTGACTGCATTAGCTATTCTGGATTAACTTTCGGCAGGGACACACGATTCTGGTTTTATTTCAGAATAATTACTCCGCTTTGGATATGCATTAATTATTCTGGAATTAAGTGACTTTTATTCCAAAATAGAATGTCCACATGGGGAGCTATTCCAGAATAGCTATTGCAGAATAGTGGATTCCACAATAGTTTTCCTGGTCAATTCCCCAATATAAACAAGCTTAGATATAGCAATTGAGAATGAGGTTCTAAAGCAGAGGTCACTGAAAAGAGAGGTGGGTGCAGCAACATCACAAGATTAATGAAGGATGTAATTAATATCAATCAAATGAGCAACCAGTGAGGGCATGTTTTTGGTCTCAGTAAACTGGTGTAGCTCCACTAGTTTGAATGGAGTTCCTTTGATCCACACTGGGGTAAATATGACACACTAAATATGTGGATGATGTCAGAAGAATGCAAACCATATTTCTGTATTTCCATTCTTCTGTCATTATTTCTGTTCACGTGCACTGAGAAATATTACGTTTCTATAGTAGACCCGTGAATAATGTTGATATCAAGGTGTGGCCAAGCCAATGTAGCAGTATGTGATATTACTTTCTGTCACTGTTTAGACATGGAAGGGGTTAATCATAAGCATATATATATACACAGCCAAAAAAAATGCATCACAGAGAGAATAGTCTAATACATGACAAATTAGCATACGTTTGAATAGCTGACTATCTTTTGGCAATGATTAGGCCAACCTGCTAAGGCATTGAGATTCAAATTGTCCCAACTGCGCTGCGGCTTTTGAAAGCCTAAACCTATCAAACAGCTTTACCAATAATGTTTTTCTAGCTCTGGATTTAAATAATGGACAATACAAATTCAGAAAGCAGGTATAATAGCTATTTTTTAAAAGAAGCATTCTTAAGAAGATTTCAAAGAACTGAAACACGCATTATGCAGGCAAGGTGGCAAGATGGATGCATGTTGAATTTCAAACACGACTGGAAAGAAATCTATCGGACTGGATCATGGAACAATATATTACGTGTCTGGTTTTACATTATATATTCTTCCATCCTTTCCCTTCCCTCATCCTCTTATCTATACTTACAATATATAGGGCTAAATTATGCTCTCAGATGTATACACAAGGTTTCCCTTGATCCCAAATCAATGAGAGCCTTACTTATATCCTAGGGCACAATTCTATTCATAGCAGGAGATGCTGTGGGGTGTTATGCAATTCTTACTGCTGCTACAGAATGAATGCAGTATCCATAAGTGTCAACAAGCACCTAACATGCTAGTGCCTGAGTATCCTAATAAAGGGGCGTGGTTTCCTGAAAGGTGGGAAGATTACAGGGATGCCTACCACAGTGAAGTCTCCTCAGGTTAGGATTTGCCTGCCCTGTATTAAAACAGATACAGTATGAGCTTAACTGGCTCATAGCGGACATCTGCAGGTCAATTTTGCCTGCCCAGTTTCAGAGTCACCAAGCGCCACTGAGCTCCACTCTTTCACATATTCCATGAGAAACAAGCTCACCTGTGATTCTTTTCATGAGCACAAATTATTTCACGGAGCGGCTGGAATAAACAATGTGCAAAGAGGTGCTTTTGGCTTCCTTGTCAACAGGGGAGTTCTTTGCCTAGCTTGTGATGGTACATATTCCCCAACTAACTTCAAGACGTGAATGTAAAACTGCCTTTCTAGTACCAATCACCATATCTTTGGGCTCGTCTCACCATTAAACACCCCCCCCAAAACCTAAAATAAAGCTGAACCAATGGCTCAGAGCAGCAGCCATTTGGGTAAGGAAAAATGATTATCTACAAGAGGAGGTAAAAAAGGAAGAAATAAAAGGATCAAGGATGAGTAGACTTGCACAGAATTAAGTAATTGAATAGAATGGAAGAGAATCAGCACTCACAGGTGGATTGAAAGTGCAGGGCATCAAAGTGTGATCGCATAGTGGGTCCTTTTGGCAATGAATGGATTACACTCTGCCGCACATTGAATGGTATTTTTTCCCCATCTGTGACATTCTTTTAATAGATCATGTGGAATTCAATTCAAGTTAATAGAAACCTGAACTATTTTTCATTTTATTGGGTAATGCCAAGCACAAATGAATGGAGAATGCTTGCACAAAGCGGAATAAGGGGTGTGAGAAGATCTGATATATGGCATGCCTGCCAGTGAAAGGAAAGCATCTCACATACTGGCTTGACAACTCAGGCCCTCCCACAGCCTAGGTGGCATGGCATAGCTAACAAGCTAGCTTTCTGATAAGCCTTTCTCGTCACAAAGAGGCATTGCTCAATCTCTACTGCAAAATGCTGCAACTGATGCGGCATGCTCTAGTCCAGGGGTCGGCAACCTTTCGGAAGTGGTGTGCCGAGTCTTCATTTATTCACTCTAATTGAAGGTTTCGCGTGCCAGTCATACATTTTAACGTTTTTAGAAAGTCTCTTTCCATAAGTCTATAATATATAACTAAACTATTGTTGTATGTAAAGTAAATAAGGGTTTTAAAATGTTTAAGAAGCTTCATTTAAAATTAAATTAAAATGCAGAGCCCCCCCGGACTGGTGGCCAGGACCCGGGCAGTGTGAGTGCCACTGAAAATCAGCTCGCGTGCCGCCTTCGGCCCGTGTGCCATAGGTTGCCTACCCCTGCTCTAGCCCTTCCATGCAATAGAATCACAGAGAGGCTCTTGAGAACTAGTGGCAAATATGAATACTTCTTGTAATTCTTGCTCGTATGTAGGTTGGCTATTCTGCTTGGAACCTTCCGTTTCAAATGAAAAGTTTGCATTTGTCATATAATAACACATCGCCCTTATGTAGCGCATTTCATCTTTCGATCTCAAAGCACTTTACAGCGTGGAAGTCAGTATCATTATCTAACCTGGTCCATGTTACATCTCATAAAGAAACAGCTGGGAAGCCCACTGGGGATTAGGCAGTCAAAAACAAGGCACACAGGAGACATAAAAAGACACAGAAACCCAGATAGGGACCCTAGTACTGATGAGCCACAGTTGGGAGAAACACAGACCTGGAAAGCACACCAGATCTGGCAAGACACAGCTATCAAGACATACAGAGAAGTATATGGTAGCTCTTCTAGGGGCCAGGTCATCCTTGGTGTAAGCCCACTGAAATGAATGGAGTTACAGGAGGAATGAATTTGGCTCAGGGTCTGGAAAAAGATCTTGGAACCCTGCTATAGAGAAGATGCATCTTTGTCCACGCAATACTGCTCCCACCTCTAGAAAACTGAAATATCCCCAGAATAATCTGCTAAAACAAACTACAGCAAGGACTGCCCACCTGCTCCTGGTCCAGTCCATAGAGTGGAAAGCTACTGGGATATGCAAGGCAATGGTAACATAGTGCACCAATCAGTGAGAGTCTGGGGTGTTTAATGAAATCAGTGGGCCAGATTCCATGTTCATTACTGCAGTGATGAGAACAGACCACTGTGCCCCCCTGGAGAATTTGCCCTGTGTCGTAGCAGCATAAAGTTGTCATATATGGCCCAATAGTGATAGAAGGATATACTTTTATGCACAATGCATAATTAATCTGTGGAACTCATTGCCACAAGATGTCACTGAGGCCAAAAACTTAGCTGTATTTAATACAGGATTACACATTAATATGAATAATGAGATCATCCACCGTTAGAGTAAGCAGGATAAGAAAAAAATGGAGAAGGGATATAAACCCTCATACTTCAGGGCCTAAGTCAGCCACTAACTGATAGGAATTAGTAAGAAACTTCCTGTATGGGCAGCTTATTCCACAATTGTTCATTATGGGTTGCCCCCTTGCTCCCCATGCTGCTTCCCTCCCCCTTCTTCCTCTGAAGCGTCTGGTATGGATCACTCAGAGACAGAATACTGGATAAGAAAGACCACTAGACCAGTTCAGTTGGGCAATTCCTATGTGAAATGTGCTGTCATGTACTGTGGATTCTTAACCAATGCGTGACACAAAAGATATTGAATCACAATTAAATCAACAAACACTCGTCTATTGAACAAGCTCAGAAGTCATACACTGAATTAAATGCAATGAATTATTCAAGTGAAGAACAAAAATCAGTATCTATAGGTACGTCAGCATTGCATTAAGGTGTCAACCTCTGTTTGATAAAGGCATTGTAAGCAAAGTGCAAACATGTAGCGGGCTGTAAAGTTCAGAAGCACATCACTGGAGATGTCTTCAAGAGTACCAAAGGTGATGTGCAGTGCAAATGCATTTCATTTCCCTAAAGTCAGACACTCAAGCAGCTTACACTTTATGATCATTAATTGCACTAACGGCGTAGGATGCTACTTACCTCGCCATTCAAGAAGCAGTAAAATACTGACACAAAGAAACCCTGGAAAAAAACAAAGGGAATCATTATTAGATCATTATTTGAATAAAGCATGGTGAAACATGTAGAAAAGTGGGTTTAGATGGGTCCCAGAGTTGTACTGCCACAATGTCTGACAGAAACTTACCACCCATCTCTGTTTTCTGTTACTGTTCTTAGAGGAAGATGGCTGCAGTTCGTTAGACTTCCTTGGGATCTGCTTCTGCAGCCACAGTCATGTCGAAGAGCACTTACCAGAGTGGCCCCATTGCTACTCAGTAGAGTGTGGGGCCCAGAGAGTTAAAGACGTAGGGCTGGAGTCTGCCACCCTCAGGGTATGTCTCTACTGCAATTAAAGATGTGATTCTAGCATGGATAGGCACATCGGTGCAAACTAGCAACTTGAGTACATACCCAGGGTCACAGGTGGGCTTGTATTGGGGCAGCTAGCCTGTGTGGCAGCCCATGGCACCATGTCTTCACTACTATTATTGTCTGTGCTAGCTAGATTAAAGCTAGCACAGGTATGCCCACCTGCGCTGCAATCACACCTTCATTTGCTATCTAGACATACCTATGCTTGTGTTCAGTGGTGCTTTACACTGCAAGTAGACCCACTGCTTTTGGTGGGATTATGCTGGGAATGATGTACTACTCCATTAAGTCAGGGTGGTAAAATATCACCCATAATAAATAAGAATGCATTAAAGATAGCTGATCTAGCTACGCAGGCTGAATTCCTTGCCCAGCTGAAGTCAATGGCAAAGCTTCCATTGACTTCAATGGGCCCAGGATTTCACCCATAGTTATGTAACCATTGACGTTACAAATGGAAAACGCCTATTAGATCACCCGCAATCGCAGCATGAAGTCCCCTGATGCAGGACATAGCAGATAATATGCATTTTCTAAAGGAGTATTTTAAATCCCGTTTACTGTCTCAGCTACTATTGTTATTATTTATTGGTACTGCGCTAGCACTGAGCCATGGACCAGGACCCCACCGCATGGGCCCTGTACAAACACAGAACAGAGGTTGGTTACAGTCCCAATGAGCCTATGATGGTTGCTCTTTCCATGAGAGCATCATGTTACTAAGAGTCCCATTCTGACCAAAAAGGGAATGCGATGCCCAAGTGATTGTAGGGCAACGGCTTACTCCTACTGAAACCATTGACTTCAGTGTGCGCAGAATCAGATCCTTGCGCTACAAAGTGATAGAGAGAAATATACTGTCTAGTGCAATGACTGAGTTTTACTTTCAGCAATGGGGTGTACTACCTCGTATGGTAACACAGATCTACTTCCCAGCTGCTCTCTCTTTCACATACCGCTCTGCAGCGTCATCGTTCTTCTGCGGGCAGCGAGCAGGACCAGGTAAAATATGCAATTTACTTTACACAATGAAAAATGTAGTGAGTCTTATTGCTTAGGAACAAAATCCCTCCTTTAATAGTTTAAAAGGGGCTGTTTTTCTCCTTTGCTTTTGTGCTTCTGTTACTGGAGTGACACTTTGGGCTTCAAATACAAATATGAAATCATTATCCATATCCGAAAGCTTTAAGAACCCACAGTCATAGACCCTGCCTTTCCGCAGTAGTTCCCAATCATCGGCACTGGTGTTCTTGGCTGTATCCCTACTTTAGGGACTGATCCCATGGAAGTCAGTGGCAATACTGAACTTAGGCCCCTAGTCAGGAAGGTGAATAAACTTTAAGCACATGCATAGCTCCAGTGAAGTGCTTAAAATGAGGCATGCGCTGAAGTGCCTTCCTGAATCGAGCATTCAATGATGAGTCTGTGTGCTGGACCCGGAGTGCTGTTACTACTTCTGCTCATTGCCCATTCAAACCCGATCCTGTTCCCGTCACAGTCCTGGCAAAACTCCCACTGGCTTCAGTGACAGGAAAACACAGTCCTCAGGGATGCATGCTCCAATCAGCAACAAAGTTTGGGACGGACCAAGTTCCACTGCAGATTAGAGCATGCGCCATTGCCCAAGAAGTGGGGCAGGACCACGATTGGTACAACCAAACTCTTGATCAAGTGAACGCTTGCTTACTTAACAGGGGGTCTCTGCCGCATGCGACATACTATATACAACCACGTCATTAAAACAAACAAGCATTTAAAGAAAATGACTAATCATATGTATTGCAATGGTACCCAGTAGCCCCAGGCATGGAGCAAGGCCTCATTGCCCCAGGCACTGTACAAAGACAAAAGCAAAAGACAGCTCCGGCACCAACGAGTTTACACGCTAAGCCAACCTGTTTCAAGAGTTATTTCTACTAAGAGGTTCTCATTGCACCAAGCTTCACAGCCAAGAGCACTGGGGATCCCTTTAGCAGTGCCCAATACTTGCGATTAAGCGTTCTCTCCTACCTGAAAAGACTGCAAGAAGGAATTGAAGTAGATGAAGACTATCTGGGAAATGTCGTCTTCGCCGGGGTTGACAAAGAAAAGCATGTAGGTAATACCCAGAAGAGGCAGAAGGACTAACGTAGCCTTTACTGCCTTCCTGCAGGGTGCAAGCAGAGAGGAAAAGTTATTAGGAGAGGAAAACCAGGCTGAGTGATGTAACCCTCAGAGAACCGCTCACCCACAGGGAATTACAATGAAGAACTGGAGAGAGGAGGCCTGAGACCAGCATAAACCAGGCATGACTCCACAGGGCTTACTGGAGTCACACTGGTGTGAGATCAGTATCATCTTTCTATCTTTTCCCAACAGATACTCCTTCCCCTCTTAGAAGTTATTCCCATCTTCTCCAACCCTCCCCGAATCATTAGCGCTCCCTTAACATCCCAGATTCCCCGCCCCAAGCCAGTTCCCCCCTGCCTCTACTCTGCCACCAGGTCACCTCCATATTTTTCCTCCTCACCAGTTCCCGCCTTAGACATGCACCCTAGGCTGCGCTCCCGTCTGGTTTCCCACCAGGGAGAGCAATGGTGAAGATCGATGAGGCATTTTGGCAGCTGGGAAGTGCTTTGTGTTGGGATTCTCTCCACACCTGCTCTTCCTAGTGGTGGTGGGAAACCCACATAGATATTGGTGCTTCTACTTACCTTCTCAGTGCTGGAAAATGAATTGAAAGGTCTGACAGAGAAGTACATGCTACTCTACAGTATGTTTCATGTTTACTACTACATTTACTAGATAGGCGTTGCAAGTTCAATGGGGTTCAACATTGCTAGCAATTAAAGATGGGCCTGGATTGACATCTGGATTGAAACTACTTTAAAGTTCAGAGGAGTTGTTGGGAGGAGTGGTTTGGATCCAGTCCCATATTTTTACCAATGTGTATTTTTAGGAGAAATTCCTAAGCAGAGTCTAAGAACTGACTGCAATATACCACTGTGTTCTTCTTCGAGTGCTTGCTCATATCCATTCCAGTTAGGTGTGTGCGCGCCGCGTGCACGATCGTCGGAAGGTTTTTACCCTAGCAACACCCGGTGGGTCGGCTGTGGAGCCCCCTGGAGTGGCGCCGTTATGGCGCTGGATATATACCCCAGCCGACCCAGCGCCCCCTCAGTTCCTTCTTACCGCCCCTGACGGTCGTTGGAACAGTGAACCGCGGCATAGCTGCTATTCACTATCCCTAGCTTCTCATTATTGTTATTATAGTTAGTTGTATAGTTATTCAAGTTCTTAGTTAGTTAGTTGTGTAGTGTATATATATATATAGTTGTAAATTTGTTATCGGGGGTTTAGGGGGTGTTTTCCCCTTTTCCCCCCCGGCGCACAGCCGGGCCCATGCCCAAGGCTCCTGGCTTTAAGCCGTGCGCGTCCTGCGGGAAGCATATGCCAACCAGCGACCCGCATAGTTCCTGCTTGAAGTGCCTTGGGGAGGCTCATCCCGCAGATAAGTGCCCTATCTGCAAGGCCTTCAAGCCGAGGACAAGAAAGGAGCGGGACTTTAGACTCCGACAGCTCCTGATGGAAGCGGCTCTGAGCCCGGATCCTCCCTTGGCGCGCCCTGTCCCGGCACCGAGTGCTTCGGTGCGCAGCGCCCCGGCGGGCCCGACCGGTGCGGCGGAAAAGACGGCTCGGCACCAACCGACGTCGGCACCGCGCCCGCCTAAAGAGCCTCGGCGCCGATCCCTTTCTCCGGGCCATAAGAAGGCCAGCAAGGCACGGGACGTTGCTACCGTGAAGACACCGGCTCCCCCGGTGCCGGGGGTAGAGCCGCGTCCGCAGTTGGACCGCCCAAGGCAGGTGGCCACACCGTCGACTCCGGCACCGAGGCCGTTGAGTCCGGTGCGGACTGTTTCACCACCAAGGCTGGTGGTGGAACCTTGTCTCCCTTCCACCCCGGAGACTTTTGCTACGGCGAGGGACCTGATCGCCCTCACGGAACCGGCGCCGTCACAACTCCCGGCACCGGTGGCTCCACGCGTGCTGCAGTCCAGAGGCAAGCCTGCCCTGATGCGCCCACCGTCGCCACAAGTCTCTCGGCACCGCTCCAGATCCCGGAGCAGATCCCGATGCCGCTCGGAGTCCCGGCGCCGAATATCACCTCGGCACCGGTCGTACTCGCGGCCCAGATCCTCGTCGAGGCGTCGTTCAACATCTCGGCACCGTCGCGACGACCGACGCCGATTGGGCTCGAGACGCAGCTCCCGGCACCGGTATGAGCGCCACTCGGGCTCGAGGGGCCGCTCCCGATACCACGCCTCTTCGAGATCGTCGTCCCGTTCCAGATCGGGATCCCGGCACCGGAGGGACTACCGGCACCGCTCCAGATCCCGGCACCGCTCTCCGGCACCGGACAGGGACAGATCGCCTTACGGCCGGCACCGATCGGCACCGTACCATCCGGTGCCGACGGCGTCAGGCTCGGCACCGCCGTGGCCGTCGAGATCGGCGTCGCGCTCGTCTGATGCAGTGGAGGCCGGCCACCTGCAGGAGACCGACGACCCTATGCAAGGACCTGCGCATTGGTCCTTCTGGACTCCTTGGGCCTACCATCAGGCACAAGGAGCTCCGCTATCGGCCTCCCGCTCGGGCCGTTCGGAGCCCAGGGCCCCAGAGTCCACCATCTCCCGCCCTCCTCCAAGGGACGTGGAGGCTCCAGTGTCCACACCAGCAGAGGCCCTGGACCGGGGGGCAGGCGATGCCCAACTCCAGGAACACCTGGAGCAGGATCAGCCATTGGACCCCTTGCCACCGGGGGCATCCTCCTCGTCCTCGCCTGATGAGGCCGTGGCGGGCACATCCGCCATTGGGCCGCCTCCTATAGACCTTCGGGCCCACCAGGACCTGCTGCGCCGCATGGCTCGCAATATGGACCTCCATGTGGAGGAGATTGCGGAGGTCCATGATCCCATTGTGCAGATCATTTCAGCGGATGCTCCGTCTAGGGTGGCGTTACCGTTGATCCGCACTATTCAGGCGAACGCCACCACCATCTGGCAAACCCCGGCCTCTATTCCGCCCACGGCCAGAGGGGTTGAGAGGAAGTACTTTGTGCCCTCCAAGGAACATGAGTACTTGTACACTCACCCCCAACCGTGCTCACTGGTGGTCTCATCAGTCAATGCACGGGAGCGTCATGGCCAGCAGGCTGCTGCGCCCAAATCGAAGGACGCTAAGCGCTTCGATTTGTTCGGACGCAAGGTCTATTCGGCTGGCGGGCTGCAACTGCGGGCGGCGAATCAGCAGGCGCTCCTGAGTCGCTACGGCTTTAATACGTGGTCCTCGATGGGGAAATTTAAAGAGCTGGTTCCCCAGGAATCGAGGGAAGAGTTCGGGGCCTTGGTAGAGGAGGGCAAGCGGGTGGCATGCACCTCCCTGCAGGCCTCCCTTGATATAGCGGACTCGGCCGCTAGGACCCTGGCGTCGGGGATAGCAATGCGACGAATCTCCTGGCTCCAGGTGTCAGGCTTGCCACCTGAACTGCAACAGACCCTGCAGGACCTTCCGTTTGAGGGCCAGGGCCTCTTTTCGGAGAAAACGGACTCTAGGCTCCAAAATCTAAAAGACTCCCGGACAATGATGCGCTCCCTGGGGATGCATGTCCCAGGGCCTCAGCGCAGACCCTTCAGGCCCCAGCCTCAGCGGTTCTATCCTCCCCCGCCTCGTCCAAGACAGGACGTTGCTAGGAGGCGGGGTCGAGGCGGTAGGCGAAGGTCGACCGGCCCTCAACCCGGTCAGAACCAGGGCCAGCCTAGGCCACCTTCAGGGCCTAGGCAAACCTTTTGAAGGTGCAGTCGAGGACGGCACCTCAACCGGTTTCCAGGATTCGGTTCCCCCCTTCCGGGATCGCCTCTCCCGTTTCCACCGTGCTTGGTCTCTTATAACATCGGACCGCTGGGTCCTTCGCACGGTGGAGAGGGGATACGCCCTCCAGTTTTCCTCGCCCCCCCCCCTCCCACTCCCCCTCCCCGTCCCTCTTCAGGGACCCTTCTCACGAGCAACTCCTTACACAGGAGGTTTTTGGGCTCCTCGCTATGGGGGCCATAGAGGAGGTTCCATCGGAGCTAAGGGGAAGGGGGTTTTACTCCCGCTACTTCCTGATACCCAAGTCAAAAGGGGGTCTAAGGCCCATCTTAGACTTGCGAGGACTCAACAAATTCATAGTAAAGTTGAAGTTCCGCATGGTGTCATTGGGGACCATCATCCCTTCACTGGATCCTGGAGACTGGTTCGCCGCCCTCGACATGAAGGACGCTTATTTCCATATAGCGATTTATCCGCCCCACAGACGCTTCCTGCGATTTGTAGTAAACAGGGTGCACTACCAATTCGCAGTCCTTCCCTTCGGCTTGTCCTCGGCTCCCAGGGTGTTCACAAAGTGTCTGGCAGTCGTCGCGGCCTTCCTTCGTCGACAAGGGATACAGCTGTTCCCGTACTTGGACGACTGGCTGGTACGCGGCCGCACCAGGGACCAAGTTCAGGCTCATGTCCACATAGTGACACACACTTTCCACGAGCTGGGCATTCTACTCAACAGAGAGAAGTCCACTCTAGTACCAACTCAGAGAATAGAGTTCATTGGAGCAATCCTGGACTCCAGACGTGCCCGAGCCATCCTGCCAGACAGCCGCTTTCATACCATCTCAAGCGTCATTCAAGGACTCAGGGCCTTTCCAATTACCACCATAAGGACATGCCTTGCCCTCTTGGGCCACATGGCCTCGTGCACCTACGTAACCAGGCACGCCAGGCTACGACTTCGCCCACTGCAGACTTGGGTGTCATCGGTTTACCGTCCTCATCGAGACGAACTGAACATGGTGGTCACGGTTCCGGCCTCGGTCTTGGCCTCTCTCGCCTGGTGGACGGATCGCACGGCGGTCTGTGCAGGAGTGCCCTTTCACGCCCCACAGCCCTCCCTCCACCTAGTTACGGACACTTCGTCTCTAGGCTGGGGCGCTCACCTGGGGGAGCACCATACCCAAGGCCTGTGGTCTGCGTCCCAACTAGCCCTGCACATCAACGTCCGAGAGCTGATGGCGGTGCGCCTGGCTTGTCAGGCTTTCCTCAACCTCCTACAGGGCCGTTGCGTGCTGATTCTCA